TGAAGAGGGAGGGGAGACTATACTGGGCTTGATATCCATTATACAGTGGTGTCTGCATAACAGCAACTCCCTTGGTTACTGTTAGGTGGAGGTTGCAGCAAAATCAATTTTTTTTTCAAAAAAGGGTTTAAACTTTGAAGATATATCCTTTGGTAGCATCTGATCATGATCTGCTTACACAAATCTTTTGTCTTTCTTGTTCATAACTTGTGAAATAAACCATTCAAAATGTAAAAATAAATTTGGAATTCAGTACAAGTATAACTTTTTAAGGAAGCATTAAAAATGAAGAGAAATACATTGAAAGAAGAAGAATTGATCATAGACAATGGTAATTGCACACGAACGAGCTGCATTTTATTTTTCAAAATTTAATCACTCATGCTGCACAGAATAATGATATAAAGTATATACACACACATATATATACACTGTAAAATATTTTTTTCATGATCCCATTACCTGGGCCATTTTAATAAAAATGACCACCTCATGACCTCAAAAAGGTCTATCAAAGAAAATAAAGACCCTTTTTACCTGAATAATAAGTACAATTGAAATCTTATGTACACAGTTATATACTAACATGTAGATATTTTGTGCAATACTTTTTAGGGACGGATGTATTTATACATTCATTTTTATGCTCTTCAGTATCTTTAGGATTCATTAAACAAGACTAAGAAACGAACAAGAATTTAGTAGCTGTTAGATAAGGTGAACATCAGTTTTAAAAATCTGAAAAAAAATTATTTTCTATGAACATATTACTGACAGATAATATCATGATTCCCATTTGATGGATGGAGGAAACTAATTACAGATGAAGACCAACTTAACTGTAGAAAACACGCACATTTCGAGCTCGTGTTAGTCAGACTGACATATTATTGGTAATCACTATGCAGGTTTTTGCAAGACAAAATAAGGAAAACACAAGACTATATGAAAAAAATCATGGAGGTTTAAAAAATGCAAGTCAAGGTTTTGTTAATCTTATAACTTTGAGCCATAGAGTACATTCTACTTCATTCTTAAAAGAGGAGATGCAAAATAAAAGAATCTACGTCCGGTAGTTGCCCAAAAAGCATAGAAGAACTGGACAAACAAACTCATAGCATTTGGTCAAAGCAGAATCAATAAAAAAAATAGTGCACTAAAAGAAGAGAGTTGCAGCTTCATAACAAGTATTCGGGCACAGATAAGATGAACATGGAAATCTCAAAATCACAGATAGCTTATAGAATTTGTCATTCCCTGACTGATATCATTTAAAATTTTCATTATTGCTTATCCTGATTTATTAAGGATTTGTTGAACACAACTGTCAATCCCTGACATGTTTGAGTTATCTTTGCCCGTCTGTATGTGGATCATTGGCTTGTGGAGTAGGTACAAGGTTTATTCATCCAATATATAAGCACATGTGTTTTGATTATCTACATTTTCTGACATATGCAAAACTTGCAACTTCATTACCTATAACAAGTTCTACGAAGACATATTCCCATCAATGAGCACAACTTTTTAATCTTGTGAAATTCATATGCTTTTTAACTCTTTTTATCCTAGCCGTACCCCCACGGACTCTGTATCAGTCCTGGGGCCGCAGCGCCGTATGAGTAGGAAGTCAGTGCATATAGTTCAAAGTGCTATATTTCTTACATTTACTCTAAGATTTTAAGGAAATTTGGCAGTTATGTTAGAAATTGAATGTAGTTTTTGTAAATGTATGTGGTTAGGAAATACACCAATACCACAATGTAGATTTCGAAGTGTATTCCACCCTCGAACTTGACCCAGATTGCCACACCCACAACGTCCCATTGGATTTTATAGATCTAGATATAGCCCTACCCATCGAGCACGAATTCCAGCACTGACCCCTTCACCATGATCTGAATCGCTATTAGATGAGTCTAAGTCCTGTTTCTTATCATCCACAACCGAATTTACGGCACTTATTTCTGAGTCACTTTCATCAAATTAGTATCCTTCCCCCTCACAACTCAGCGCCACTTCAAAAAGTACTTCGTCGGTCGTGAATGTGCGTTTTCAAGACATCTTTCAAGCTTCTACACCCATCAAAAACAAAGAAAACACTGTTCATTGGAAAATTAAAATATTCAGACATAGCTAGCATCGCCGTATTAGCGTATTTTGGTAATTACAAGCAGAACTAACTTCTTTGACGTGACCGTATCGCTGTTCTGAGTATACTCGTAGACCGGACTGGTCCACGATACGAGTATACTCGTAGCCCGGATAAAAAGAGTTAAGAGTATCTTGAGTAAAACTGAAACCTTTTGCATACAACCAATGGAGGAAAAAAGAAAAAAAGAAATTAACTGAATCACTCTCCAACAGGAAGACTTGACTTGTTCAAAATGGAAAGGTTTCTTCAGATAGAGCTGTACTGTACATCTTCAATTCAGGATGTGGTCAGTGCAACCATTCCACAGAAGTGTTAGCTCCTGTAAACCTTACGTATAGATCCCAGGGCAAAAGTGACTGCATCTACCAGCAGAAATAGTACTCAAAATTCAAGCATCACAATCAGTCAATAGGTGGTACGACAACATATAACAGGATCTTTCATTCTGTCAACAATTATAATCAAGCAAATCAAACATAAGACAAAACTGCATACTGCCAGGATTTGTGTACAGCATGCAGAAATACATAATAGATACCAGCTCTGTCTTGTATTTTAGCACTCACTCTAAGGAATACCAAATGCATCGGTCTCATAGAGCCCATACTTTTCCTAGTCGTGACAGTTAACTACAATACAATTGATGAAAACAGGATATCCCAAGTCTTATTCAAACACTCATGACTGACTTCACGGTACATAAAAACCACCCACACAAAAACTGATATTTATAAAGGCAGTGGGCCACACATAGACACAGATGTACACAAAGTCTCTCTCTCTCTCTCTCTCTCTCTCTCTCTCTCTCTCTCACACACACAAAAATACACACACATAAAAACACACATACATGCATACAAACACACACACACATGTACACATACACAAACACATGCATGTGCATGCCTGCTAATATTCACAGACAGAAATGCAAAGAGATTACAATGTGAAAAACAAATGGATTCTGAAATAAATGTGGGGTAATGGGTGGAATCTCTAGAGACAGTTTGTTACACACTTTTGTTTGGCATAATGTACAGGCTTGATGTTTGTCCTGAGATACATAAACATAAATATTTTAATGATTTGAAGATAAACTGTTTCTTGATCAACAAGAATTATTTTTGAAAAATAGAGTACCACAATTATCCTTCAAGTTCATAGCTTTCCCATCTTTGCTTCACATTACAGTCTCAATCAAATGAATATTCATGTACAGACATGTTCAAGATGAAATTTTGATTTCCGACACATTTCAGTAGAATTATAATATGTGCCTTTATAAAAATAAAAATGTTGTAAGTGTGACACAGCTGACCTTAGAAAGTGTCTATTTTAAAAAAATGTAATAAATATCTTTTTAAAGAAAAGTCTTCCTATATAGTTTGCTTGGCATACCTATCAATGTCTACTCATGACTGCAAATGATATTTGCTGTGATCTGAAATAATATTAGTCATTCTAGTTGGTCACTGACAATGAAATTAAATTGTCCAATGCCACAGAGCTAAGACAGAAGCCAAAGACTCATACAAAAGCAGCATTTTATATGATGTTGAGTAGACTCAAACATTTTTTTTCCTGATGAAATATGAGGCTTGGTCGAATATCCTTTTTATACATCCCAAACTTTTGAAGAAACTTCAAGAAATCTCTCTAGTTTGGTTCTATACTAATTCACAGTCAAAGTATTGTCATGAAGGATACCATTTATCTGAAAGTAGGAAGATAAAAGTTTCAGCAATACATCTTTTGATTTTTGAATAACAAAAGGCTGAGCATTATGCAAGATAGTCTACTGTGAGGTAGATGAAATGGATCTGAGTAACATACTGAAAGTTGTAGCATGGTCTGTACTAAGCTTAACAAAAAGGTAACCCACACAACATTTAATTTGCATTACACAGACAAAGTATTGCTTTTTATAAATATGTTACTTGCTTTTAGTTGTAAAATATCACATTATATCGTATCAATTACAAACACTATAAGCAAATATCTTTATTCAAGACATGCTTTGTGCATAACAATATAGGTAACAATTAATGATTTTGATTTTGTAGTCACAATGGAGTCACAGTCATAATAGAAGTACAGTCAAACCTGTGTAAGACGGCCATCCATTGTCAAGGAGAAAAGCGGCCGTATAAGACAGGTGGCCGTCTTAGGCAGGACTGATCAAAATGAAGAAAACAAAGCATTCCCATCTGAGGTTCCCAATCGAAAGTGGCCGCATTGTAGTTGTTTTTTGTTGTTGTTGTTGTTGTTGGTTTGTATTTAGTTTGTAATTTTGATTTTTTTGCTGATTTTGCGCAAGGGTGACAATAAAACGAAATGTATCAGACGAGGAAGACCGAGTGCCAGGTTAGAACAAACACATGGGTCGCCACCACTCGGAGAACGAGCGACGCTTCTGTCACAAGTTCAGGTTGACGTCTATTGTTACTTTGTTACAGACTGGATAAACAGAGACCACTCATCTCCCTTAGAATTTGTGTAGGAGTTCTGGACGGGGCTTAAGGGTTATGAGGGATCACACACTTACCTCACCAGCAGCTGAAAATTGGTACCTATTGGTCAATAGTGGGAGGAGCCTACGCAACATGATCGGTTGGAGGGACTACCTAACAACAACGATAGGTGATTGAATTATGATGGCTTGCCCACAACGCCAGGGGCCAATGCATGATTAATGAAAAATCGTAATGGAGTCACTAAGGTGGACGTTTAAGACAGGTGTTATTGTTAGATGTGATAGGGGTTGTGTGTTAAAATATGGTGGCCGCGGCCGCGTTGGACAGGTGCCCATTTTACACAGTTAAATTATGAAGAAAAAAAGCAAAGGGGGGAAAAGGAAAGTGGCCGTTTGCACAGGTGGCCATCTTATAGAGGTGGCCGTCAGGGCAGGTTTGACTGTAAGCTCATCTCTGAAGCTAGTTGAAATATTGTAGTGATTCCAACATCCATAAGCAAGATATGTCTCATCTTTTGTTGGCTCTTTGTTGGTTCATTCTGATGAAAAAAAAAGAATTACATATAAGACTATACGCTATGGAAATCAATGAGCACTCATTCACATGGGTCAATTAAAAGCTAAACTCCCCACAAAAAAGTATGAACCATCCAAAAACTACTTCTTATACATAAAGTACACAAACTAAATGTTATTCTCGATACTTTTGAAAAAGCTGCAATAAGGAAATTATACAAGCTGCATCTTTACAGGAACACATTTTGAGACAAAGTCATACAAAACATGGTAAAAGTTTTGACGCAAGAAAAAATCCCCAGGAAGCATAATCTGAACTCCTTATCTTACCAACGCATTTTCAGGCACATACTGATGTATCATCTAAAGCAAACAAACTCATTAAGGAGGAACCCACAAGATATAGCAGAAACGCACTGATAAATTAATTGGAAAACATCACTTAAACACAGACACTTTTTTTGCTTTACAGTCGCTGACAGATGTGAATAGAGGATGATCCACAGGAAAATAACAAAAAGTATAAAATTCTCAGTCAAGGGAGTTACAGATCTGCAAAGCATCAGTTTAGACAGAAAGAATTAACAATCACTGATTTAAATAATAGCAAACAAATTAGAAGTTTTTTACCAAAGGACAAACAGGATAGCACAAGGTACAAAAACAAAAAGTGCAATGCTGATAGGACAAAACTGAACTTGAGAATGAGTTACCACAATGAGAAACACAACAGAACAGTAGAAACACTGAAAGAAATAGGCAGCGTAGACCACATTAGAGCACTCATCAATAAACTACAATTTGAAGAAAAGAAATATGAGTTGGGGGGTGGGGCGTATTTCTTTTGAGCGAGTTTATAGTTTTTTCCTAAAATCTTGTTTTGTCCAGACGTTTAAAGATGGACAAAATTCTTTCACAGATGAACTTCTCTTTATTTACCCCCCCAAAAAAACAAACAAACCCCAAAACAACAAAGCATGGTGAGTGGGACTTACCTGGCAATGTTTTCCACATATTCAGCAGTCTGACTGGAAGAGTAGGGCATCTGGTTCAGATAGGTATACTGCATGCGGCCATTGTTGTTTGTTGGAGCAGTGTTGTTGGCACCACCTCCTCCAGGAAGGCCGAAAGCTTGCCTTTGTAAGTCACGTGTCTGACGCTTGTTGCGGCCACCTCCTGACGATTTCAAAGTGAGATTCAATGTACAAAGAATCATTCATGGATGCTGACAGTATAAACAGTTGATATAGTCAGTGGAGTGGAATAAAAAGATGAATATAACCCTCAAGTCACTCCACCACATTTATTATCTCCAATTTGATATGATTTTTCAGATGAGTGAACAGACAAAATTATTGAAAACAGGTGGAGCTTAAGGATAAGCTTTTTGTCTTTCTAATTATCTTGAACATTCGGTTTCTACAGAACAAAAAAAATAATTTTTGACTTGCTTTGTCCTCATTTCAGCATGATATGCTTGATGACAGTTACATTAACTGCACATATTATTAACTCCTGTCCTGCATCTGTGCCAAGATGCTGGTCCTATCAGTAACTTCTTATGTCTGACATTCCCGGTGGGCCACCAGGGTCACTCAGCATGTACAGTTAGTGTACAGCGAGCGGAACTGGAAACGTGTGTTTTCAACGTGAATACCGTGGGGGTTTGTTAATATCGATGATGAAGGTAACACTCTATCTTTTACAGCTTTCTATTTATAAAGTGCAGCAAACACATAAATAACCCCCTCTCACAAGCAGATAAGACATTATGAGTAGTTAAGCCCATTCGAATAACCTTTTTAATTTTAGACACTCTGGGGTTTGAAAGGGAATAATATAGCTCAATTTCCAAATGTTTTGCTCTCAATTTTTTTCTTTTGACCAGCACGATGGTATTCAGAACTATTAAATAAATCTATTTTTATCAGGCGATATCATCTTATATAAAATCAAGCTCACTTGAAGGATTTTGTATAGAAAAATGGAAGTCTTGTATCCTGGCTATCCTTTCGAGCTCTTCATATCTAAATGGGTCAATTTGTTCTGGAATTTCAGTAGAGGAACATCTAGAGCTACCAACTTGGCGTGTTTCGAAAGAGACGCATGCCTCGGTTACGAACCAATGCAGGGGTTTCTAGAAGTAGGCCACAACCTCACACAAACTCGAGCAGACTGACGCACACACACTTGAGCTGCAGGAATACGGGATATGCTAGGCGCACGGACTGATATGGGACCGGATGGAAGGCGAGGTGCTGGAATAGGCTTATCTGGGAACATAAACCCGGCTCACACAGGACGAGGGTTAAACCCCACATGATACATGATCTTCCATGAGTAAAGTGAGTTTCACATCACATTAGTCATACCATATGTTTGCCTACATTGACTGTTAACACTTCATTCAAAGCAGTGGTCATCATCCGCACTTTTTTCATAGAGAGAACTATGTGACCATCTCTGAACTAAAGCGGACAAAAACTATTTGAAGATTTTCCTACCCCTTTGTCCAGTCTCCTCTTCAAAGTGAGAAGTGTTTCCCCACACAGGTGGTGAAGACAGTTGCATGTTTGTCACCTTCACTTGGACACTGGGCTTGTAGTGACCAATTCCAGGTAGACCAGAATCAAGACCAGTCATGGGTGGTTGGCCCTGTTGAAAAGAAAAGAGACACAACTTCTAACAGCTCCATAGTGAGATGAGTTTCACAATATGCAGGCTATGTCAAAATAAAAATTTACAGCAAAACAAATAATTGAAGAGATTAGAATGCAAAAGCTGGTCTTGTGGTGCAGCACCCTTTTCAAACACAGGCTTAGGTGGTTAGTTCATTCTAAAGTCAGCATGCTAAAAGATAGTACATAACAAGATGGTCCACTCAGCCAAAAAAGTGTCCGCCGGAAGTCCGCTCTTTGCTTCAGATGGCGCTGCAGTCTGTTTTGAAGCCCTCTTTTGTTTCTCCAGAAGAAGAATAGGAATAGCACCTCCTTGCGTGCGCAGATCGACTGCTGTTCATCAGCTGTTCGGGTTTGTTCAGAGCGGAGTTTTAGGTTTTCTGTATTTTAATGACCTCTCGCCTTTCATTCTAAAGTCAAATTAAACTAAGAAAACAGTCACCCTTTCCTCCGGAAAAGGTTTTTTGTCAGCTTAACCATTTAAAAAAAGCGTTCTTCCGAAATTTGAATTCTTATTTATTCAAAAACTTGTTAGTTTCACTTTGTTTTTTTTAACCCAAGTTGGATAACTCTGTTCGCAAAGGGTGCGCATTTGTGAAGAGGGCGCCACCAAATTTTGAGGACACTTTTTTAATTGGCTCAAAGAGAGGAGTGCCCCTCTTGTTATGTAGACTCTTTGGTATGCTGAAGCCAAGTGATTGCAAAACACATGCTTTGCTTGCGTAAATGAACAGGAATGTATCTGGAGTATAAGAGACTTGGTTACAAAATATTGATGCTTTAATTCACTGGACCGACATGTTAATTGTTCATATGACAAATATATCATTAAAAGACAGTTATTTTGTTTACAGATGTTTTTGAGTTAGTGCAACCTTTTCTTCAGTTTAGACTGGTTCTTCATCTTTTATTTCCCTTCGTGTTAGAATGAGTTAGTGTGTGTTTTTGTGTTCCTACAGCAACTTTTCACAACTGATGTTGAAATGACGATAATCAAACATCCTGAATTCTCAGAATTGACAACACAAACTGAAACAATTTCAAAATAATTCAATCCACGTAGGCATTATTATGAGTACTTAAGAATACTGTTGTTAATGGGAAAGAGATCAGCTATGGTACTGTATTGGGGAAACAAAAATGATCAGACTGTTTGAAAACTTTCAAGTAAATTTAGTATGTACATTTTCTCTTTAAAAATGCAAGTGCAACATTCTGTACCACAAAATCACTGTCAAAGCAAATGTTTCTCTAAAAAAATATCCCTCTCACCGTCATCATCTGGGTCTGGTCAGCATAATAAAGCTCTGCCTTGTTCCGTTCTTCCTCAGTAATGAGAATGCCATCAATCACAGCAAGTCTTGGAAGTCGATGAACAAGAACAACACGGTGCATGAGTCGTCGTGCCACCTGAAATAAATTAAGTTTATTTCAGAATTTTCTACCGAAGAGCTGACCCTGTATTCAGGGAAAGTTGGCATTAACAAAAAAAGGGGAATTTATAACATTATGGGTCTCTCACAAAAGATGAGAAAACATTTCTCCTTATCTGAAAAGTTGATTTGCTCAATCCTACCAAACCATAAGATCAAGGAGAACAGATAACATATGAACAAAATGCTAATGATGGCGATGAAAAAACCCCATCCTCTTGTATTACTTCATAGCTTATACAGTCAAATCTGTGTAAGACGGAATTGCAAGGGAGCCAGAGAAAAATTATGTCTTAGACATTTTCCGTCTTAGACAGGGGAATTTAGGGGGGGGTTGGGGAGGGGTTCAAAGGCCCAGCCGGTGGGATCAAGGATTGCTTGTCCGATCGGAAAGCAGTGGTCAAAACTTCACACCTCACAATTGCTATCCTGTCTGATAATGACATGTGTCAGTCTTACTTATCCAATTACCACCAGTGTTTGCCTTTCATAGGACCACTGTTTGACCTACTGTATTAAAAACAGAAACATTTGAACATCTCCTTTGCTTCCACCCGTAGCCCCACCCACCAATGCCACCCCTCTCTGCCATCATTGTAACAACGATTCCTTTCCTCGGCTGGCCGTACGACCAGGGCGGCAGGTATTGGTCAATCTAATTTCACACCTCTGGCTTCTGGCTACCCAGGAAAGTTTCCGTCGGGGTTCGCTACTTGAGCATTCTCACGGGCAGTTGTGAGATTTCACACCCACACTACACTGACCATCTGCATTGCTCAGGGCTCACACGATGGGGTAACATCTACCCCCAAATTGCACCCCTACTCCCCTTCCTCGCCCAGCGGCATGGACATAGCATTAAGTTTAGAGCCGGTGGAACCAAACTAGCGAGTTTTGTTTCAAATCAGGGCAGAGCAGGCAAAGCATTTTCCGTCTTAGACAGGTGAAACCCTCGGAAGGGAGCGGTTTTTTCTTTTCGTTTCCGCGTTGGACAGGTTTCCGTTTTATACTGGTAATTAAAGAGGAATATATCAAGGGGGGAGCAGGGAGATACTGTTAAGAGAGGTTTTCGTTTTATACAGGTTTCCGTTAAGGCAGGTTCAACAGTATACATATTTTTATAAAGTTCTGAAAAGCCACATTTATATACATTTACAAACAGGTTATTCAAAGTGTCTCCTCGCAGTTGCGAGCGCCGTAAAACCTTATACTACTACATACTAAAGTGTCTCCTTTGGACAACAATATTTAGAATCCATAAGCCATTCCCTTTTGAGACAAGAAGCTTCAGTTCAGTTCAGAGTTTCTGAAATTTTTAGCACGATCTACGGCAAGCCACAACTTACAGCATTGTTGACCAGAGAAATCTCTACCAGGTTGTGTAGAGTGTCCAATCTGTCTAACTCAACCAGCTCCTGGATGCGGTTGGAGCCCAGATACAGACGCAATAAGTTCTCCAGACAACCCAGGCCAACCAGGTCTCTAAGGCGATTTTCCTCCAAGTGCAATTCCTGCAGACCAAACAGTATCAGTTAACCTACTGAAGACAAATGTGTAAGCATAAATACATGACTCTTTACATTTTCTAAAATTCATGGCAAGCTCTATCGATATAAGCCAAAACAGCAAAATTTGTTTGGGACCAGTGTCCATGGTGAAGCAGTTAGGGGGGAGAATTTTTATTATCTCTGTCTTTCTGCTGAGATGTGGTATCTCTCTCAGCTTTGGTTGGCTCTGAAAAGCCAGGCTGAAGCAGTCTGCCTCCTAAATGATCCATAAAATGTCGATGGGGGAGTAAAACTTCTACAATGAAAATTATGATGAATCTGTGAGAGACAAAAGCCATTCCTCTTTTATGAGCACCCAAGTTTAGGAATGGATGGGTTCAAGAAGTGCTGTCGTATCATTTCCAGTAATTTAAAGTGGAACTTCAGCTTTGAGAAGATAATACGAAGAGTGAACAATAAACATCTGATAATGGCAACATTAGTTAAAGTCAAATTGAAAGGAGGGTCAGTGTGGCTGTGTAGTTCTAGACCAAAATTATTTTAACCAAAGGCAAACAACAACAAAATCTTTAAAAGAAAGAAATGATCAAAATTTTTTTTTCAAATTTCAGAATTTGACCATCAAAGTATTTCACTGAGTGTATCACTTTCTTGAGCTCCACACATGGGATTTCAGGAATAAGATTGCATAAGTCCCAATCAGGGTGCAGCTTTGAAAGACCTCCAAAAATAAACTTAAGGCTTAGAAATAAAGCAACCTACATTGACTCGAAGGCTGAAATTAAATGTAAATATTCATCTATCTATCAACAACTTCAGTTCAAAGTAGGGTTGGGTCAGCCTCGCAAAATTAGCTTCCGCGAGTAACGAACTACTCGCTGGCACTACCCGCAAACGAGCAGACGGGTAACAAACCGTCCGCTTGTGAAGAGTAGTCCGCTACTCACTACTCATCAGACAGAAACAACAGTTCGTTCAGCGAGTGGACGGGCGGACGGAGAGACACCATGCATTTCAGCGGGCCGACGGACGGGGAGCGACTCCTTCCATTGTATACTACTTACAGCCCCCCCCCTCCACCCCAAAAAAAAATTAATTAAAAAATCACCCTCCTGCCCCACATTGTAGCTAGGCGTTCATGGCCGAAATTTCTCTACCCTCCTCCCTCCCCCGGCCTTTGCAGTAATTGGAACGTACACACACTTCGTCACCAGCCTCTCTCACTCCCTGTGGCACCGCTAGTGGGTTGAAACATTAGGCCTAATTAACAAACAATAGACGACGGGTCTAACTTTGCGTCGAGTATCTCGTCTGCTAGAGTTTGTCCGTTCGCCCGCCCGCTCAGTCAATAAAATTGTGAAGCGGACCCAAAAAACAAACTGACTTGAGGCTTGAGGTCCGCAGTCCACTTGCTGAGAGAGTCAAATTGTGGAGAGGACCTAAAAAACGAACTGTCTTGAGGTTCGCAGTTCGCTCTCATGGCCGTCCGTTACCCGCTCGCTCTAACTGAGTCTGCGAGTAACGAACCCGTCCATCCGCTCGCCCCAACTCTAGTTCAAAGTAAATTTACAAGGTGCAATAAATCTTTTCTGTTTAAGGAATGAAAATTCAGCAGCATAAACATAACACATACCTGGAGGTTCCATTGATTTATGAAGGAATATTCTGACAACTGCTTGATTTTGTTTCTGTCTAGCACGAGTTCACGCAAATCATGGAGTCCATCCAGACCTTCCACTTTCACGATCTCATTTCCTGATGACGAAAATTAGTATAGAGCCAATTTCTCCTTTCAAAACATAGTATTATAAATGTGCTTCATGAGAGAATAAAAAGGAGATGGAAGGGCCAAGAAGATATAACCACTAATAATCAATAACGAAACTTTCGAATTTTACACTGAAATGACAATAAGGCTTTTAACAAAGAACTATTGGCCATTATCATAGATTGTATAATGCTGATGTCACTGATAATGTAGTCATTTGTTCATCTTCTTTACGTTTGCAATATTGTGCTCAGTAGATGAAGCACTGAAAGAACGTATATGACAGACTAGGAGTTTCCTGTACTAGGTGCGCTGGTTCATCAGTGTCACCAACTAGGAGCAGGTTGGTGACTTCTCAACCTTTGATATAAACAGTCTAATTGTCAATCAGCATTCCCTAGAGTACAATTTAAAAAAAACTAAAGATGAAAATAGACAGCTTCACAATGACGAGACATCATCAAAAATCTTAATGAACCCACAGAAGAAAGGTAAGAATAAAAAGCATCAAGAAACTCCAGGTATCGTTTCTTTTACTTAGAAACATGTAACAATTTTTGAGCAACACTTGTGACAGCAGAGTAAGGCAAGCTTCACTTTACCTTGAAGAAAGAGAGCTTTCAGTGAAGGCAAACGACTGAGTTGCAGAGCAGCCATGTCTTTGATTCCATTGTATCTGTCAATGTAAAGCATATTGCCAATGTGAAGAATACTCAAGAGTTTAAAGAATGGTTAAATTTCATTCATACAAGAAAAGGAAAGTACTGATCAGACAAGAAACATAAACACACAATGACTAGTCATCACTTTTGTATCTTAAAATCAGGTTTCTTGGGGTCTCTATATTTTCTGTGTCATTGCCTTTTATGTCAGGAACTGTAATCCACTTGGTTTCAAGCCTGACCAACACGCAAACGCTCAGGTTCATTTTCACAGAATATAAATTTTTCCTTGCGGAATGACCTGCCATGTGTCAAGCTTCAAAATGATCTATTCTAATCAAGTAGAGTATTAAATATCAGCAATATAACCACCGCCCGCGCCAAACCACACACATCAGAACTCTGTCTTAGAAATGTCAAATAACAGGGACAACACTATAATTATTTTACAGAAAACTTTTTTGCGTGAGTGAAACAGTAGAGTGTAAACTTACCCAAGGTGCAAAACTTCCAGATTTTCTAATACCGGGGCACAGTTCTCTGCAAAGTAGTCAACATTCTTGCTTGGAAAGTTGCCTCCAAATCTAGATCCTCCTTTCAGGCTAGGTGTTGTTTTGGACTTGGGCACAATGCATTCAATGTGGTTGTGATTGAGGCAAAGAACCTGCAATTGACACATATTTCACTGAAATTCCTAAGATATTTTTCACCAAAAAATTCCTTTTGACTTTCTGTTAAAATACTATCACAGATGTTTTCATAGCCAATACAAAGAGCAAGTGATTATTTTAATGAATGAAAAGTATGGTGCAATTCAATATTTTGTACCAGTTATACATTTGAAGACTAGTCCTTTGTTTGTTTTGGAAACCGACGTTCTAAATTCAAGCACATTTTTAAAAAAATACTTTGAGATTTTAGAGACTTTTATCTGGGACAGAAACAGGTGGCAGCCATGCTGCACGAGTCATAGTGCGATGAGGGTAAAAAAAAAAGAGTTTTTGTTGGAGCATATTAGTACAGGAATTGAAAAGTAAAATGTATAAAATACACTTATTTTCAAGGCCACACATAAAAGTGATATATTCAAAACTAAGTATCAAGTTAAAAAGAATAAAAACAAGTGATGACACTATCAAACTAGAAAAATTATAAAAACAATTTACCCTGAGATTCACCAAATGGATAAGTCCAGTGAAAGACTGAAGGTTGTTGTGCTCTAAGTTCACACTGAAACAAACAAACAAAAAGCATTATAGGGTATGCCTACATGAGGAGACCGGAATCTACAGCCTTGTGGGACTGAAACAACCTTTACAAAAGACACTGACTTATTGCTTCTATATGGTGAACTGGGCATATGATCAAAAGCCACTACCTGACTGACGGAAACGACCCTTGACATTGCTTATTTGTATTGAGGGCAAATAAAAACTTAAATGAAATTTACAAACAAAATTGTCCTTGCCAGCAATGCTATTCTTTATCAAAAATGTATTTTTTTGCTCAGGTTGGATGAAAATGTCTCTCTATCCCTGTAGGTCCATACTAGTAATGTTGGTTTCAAATGTTCAATAGATATGGATGTTTTATACAACCTCATTTGTTTTATAATACCTCAATATGTAAACAACAGTTTCTAAAAGGTGATTCTGGTACATTTCAAAAGAGCGAACACACCTTCTCAGGTTGATGAACTGCTCTCCTGTTCCCAGGTCAACTGTTCTGATAGCACAATTTGGCAAGTCTAGTTCCCTGACCTCTAAAAATGAGGAATGTCCTAGCTTTTCGGCTATGAAATCCGGGGTCAGTCGACCACCAAACGTGTCTTTTGCCATGTTGCCCTCGTGAGCTTCCTGTGGGTACAAAAATAGTGATGAAAAGTATTTTGTTAAAGCACTCAATACCCAAAACAAAACAGAAAAATGCAAACTGACTTTCACAATCGATTCCTTTTGATTAGTTCTGAATAAATATACATCATGGATTCAAAATCGACAGAAGACTCTCATCCTAGAATAAATTCCATCTTGTAATGCAAATCCTACTGACAACTATGAATTTTAATATTTTATTCTTATCCCGCTTCTTTAACAGCAGTACAGTAGGGGTATTGAATTTCTTATGAAAATTGTAAGTTGTAGGTAGAACAACAGGGAACATGTATAAACATAAGAGTATTCGTCTATCACAACTTGGTATCTAAATCCCCTCCATGCAATAATTTCAACTTTAGAAATATAGGGCTACAAACCAAACATTGCTTTATAACAGTTGAAAAAAAAAGAAATTACTTTGACTGACAGAACTTCTCATTTAAAACTGTACAGAATGAAATCATCAAAGAAACATAATGAGAGAAACTGAACTCAAGAAACAGAAATCACTAAAATGAATAAAATAAATTGCAAAATATATTTAAAAATCCAGGACAAAATGTCCTTGAAAAAAGCTATCGGCAATAAGAAAAGAATAATGCTACTAAAACAGCTAGATGACAGATCATATTTCTTTTATATGACTGAGAATACAAATTATGAACTCAAAAGCAATAGATGCCACTGGGACTGGAGAGTTCTCAGGGAAACATTGTCTGTACTTAAAATAAAATGCTCAAAATCTACACAGGTTTAACTGTTTGAATTAGACAGCTGCCAGGAATGAATCCATTGTTTATCTCTATGTGAGATACCAATGCATTGTCTTCAGGACTTACACGAATCAATAGTGTTGATCAAACTTTTACTGAAAGCCTTTCAGGTTTACATAGTATGAGGGCAGTAGGTATAAGCTGGCAAAAAATCTGCCTGGAAATTCTAGAAGGCTAAAAACAATCAACTTTTGAAACACTTTTGTCCTTACAGCTTCTTTGGATGAATTGTTCAAATCCAGAATCAGAAGATCTAAGGTTGCCTGTGTTTTTTGATAAGAAGCAATTTCCTTCCTCAAGTTCCTAGGAGCCTTGATTTCGAAACAGATTGTTTTAAAATTTCATTGTGGTATCGGATTTAAGGTAAAAATATAACATAATATTATGTCATTATCAAATTAAATGTGTAAAACATGATTTAAAGTCCTAAAATAATTTATACTCTTTAAAGCCATCAATTTTATACCTTATATTTTTCTCATGCAAAAATCAAACAGACCATTTTGAGCCACAACTGTTTTTGGAGAATCATATATGACTGAATTCTGAACAAATTTAAACTGCTTTCCATAGATATATAGTAATATATTCATGTACAAAGACACACTGTCATCTCAAGGCTGGCCTTTTAACCTAAAGGAAAAACTGTGTATACTCCATGTATTCAAAGCTCATAGAAGTTTTCAGAATTCAAAGTGAAAAAATTATGTGGTTTCACATACGATTTTTAGCATTGCAAATCACACTTTTCAGAATAAAACAAAGGCATTTCACACTGTACAGTTTTAAAGGAGGATACAGACCAAAACCAACTATAACATTCATCAAGTTATGTTTCCCACCAGAGCTACATGACTTACAATAGCTGTTCCATCCAAAGCTTTGAGGGAGCGTAGATGGTAGATCACAAAAAGCCTGTAGTTTTCCACCTGGGAGACCATTGGGTTTCCATACATGTCTAGGATCACCAGGTTAGGTAAGGACTGGTAGAAGAAAAAAAATTGAAAAAAACCCGCTTTATTATGAAATGAAATCTACTGGAAGAGAAATTCGTTAAAATATCAAAACATATGTTTTCTTCATGATCTGAATATGTATGTGAGAGAGGAATAAGGAGATAGATTTTAACCATTATCGATCCCTCATTTAAAACTTACAGTCATGCATACTGAGAGTTTGTTGACAATAAAGGAATAAATTTTCAGGCAGGAAACCTTGATAATCTTGTTACAAATTCCTCCTGTCATCATATCTCTTTACAAGTATGCTTTATCCATTTTCCAAAAAATTTGACAGGAAACAGGATTTTACAAACAGAATGACTTTCCCTGCATTTCCCTTAATTTTCAAGTTTACATGTCGACTAAAAGTTGCTCAAACTGAATGGGATATTGTTCCTAGCTCACTCACTGTACACAATGCACATTATTTGACTTCATCTTATAAAAAGTAAGTTTTGAGGATATAGAACTTTGATATGCCATGGCAATAAAACATCAGGGTCCCACCCCCCCAACCCTGAATTCACACTATTATAAGCAGTAGTCACCTTCAAAAGAAAGACCTCCCTAATGTTGCTGATCTCATTGTTGCCTATGTACAGCTCCACGAGAGCTGTGGCTCGCTGAAGTCCTGCCAGGCTGGTCAGCTTGTTGGACTCGAGAGACAGCGAGGTCAGGGACGACATTGCAGAGAGAGCCCCGGTGTTCAGGGAGGTGAGGCAATTGTGGGAGAGGTCAAGACGCTGAATGCGGGTCAGTTTGCTCATTCCCTCAAGGTGGGCTAAACAGTTGTTGCTCAGGGACAACTCCAAGATCTGGGTACAACCGTCTAGGCCCTGAAGATATTTTTTAAAAAAGTCTTAACAGCACACATCCTATCACTCTAAAAAATGAAAACAAACATGTTGATCAAACTTCACGTATCGTAATGGGTTTTATTAAAAAAAAAAAAATTCTTTAAGCCACTTGAAGGTGTTTATAGAGCTTTTAAATCCACATTAATAACTAAATCATTCTTCAGGAGAAAAGATGAAAGAATGTGTATGAAGTAACAATCTACTGTGTACCCATCAAAGCTGCAAAGACATTCCTTATTCAAGCTAACATATTACAGAATGTTACACTAACAATGATGTTTTAGCTCTATCAGAAACAGGCAACAGGGGAATCTATTGAAATCACAAAATTTCATAGTGTACCTCAATGCGGGTGAGATCATTGTTGTTGAATGAGACCCACTGCAAACTCTCCAGACGGTCCAAGTTGGACAGTTTTGTGATGTGTTGGTTATCCAAGTTTAGAGTTGTCACCTGGGTGGAGGTGACACAGTGTAAAGAATAACACAACTAAAGCAACAAATCGTTGTCTCAAAACTATTTTGTCCAAAGCGCACTCAATAGTTAAGTGCACTTTAAACAAACATTTCTGAGGAGATTAAAGGTCATAAGGTATGCTTGTAAGTCAACAATGATATTGACTGCAAATATTACGCAGTATAGACCATCCTTTACCATAACATTTGGAAAATTTATGAAAGCTCATTTATAAGTGTTCATACTGTATCAACAGCAAAAAGAATAACTCAAAGCGGAAAATATAATCAAGGCCTTCGCTTTATCTGCTTGACAGTGCTATCTTTAAAGTCACATGAAATCGGCAATCTTCAAGACATTGCTTCTTCTTGGTGACAAACACTATCAGCACTGTTGTAATATACTTGGAAAATAAAGAAGGAAGGAAAGTGTTAAGCACAATCATCATGCGAAACCTAATGTATGTGAAAAAAAAAAACATACACAAAGCAGAACACAAAGCCTCCAAAGCTGACTGGGAACTCTAGATACACCCACCTGACTGTACCAGCTTGCATCATTCTCACTCGACTTCATGGGCTTATGGCGACTGACTGTTGAAATGATATGGGCACACGTCCCCAGAGAGAGTGATCTTGGGACGGTTGAGTCAGTGCGTGAATGAGTCAGCAGCGACAGCTGGGAAATCCTGGAGCCAGCAGCACATCTGAATGCCAGGGCAGCTTCCTCCTCTTCAACTCTTTTACCGTCTAGCATTTGGAGATTCTTCAGTCTTCCTATTGCACGCAAACGAAGATCCACTGCCTGAAAAGAACGCATACACATTATAGAAATTTTTCCATAACAAGGCAGCCATCAGTTTTAATTTGTTTACAATGCAGAAATCATTGTATGTGATTTATTAAGCCACTTGAGCCCTACTGATCAACAAAGCAAATCAACACAAAGATGGTCACTACATAATGACATAGACACATAGGATATATCACCCATGACTATCTCTCACTAACGGGAGCTAACTTTCTCTTTGTACAGGAACAAAAATCCAAGATGAAGAAAAGAATACAAGGATGGGAAAGACTTATCATGGTAACCAGCTTTCAAAAACTTTTATAAAGCAAAAGATGTCCCGATGTAATAGATGGTTACCAACAAAATTGTTACCTTCAGCCAGGGATTGCTGCGAATGTCTAAAACTTTCAACCCGCCAAGATGCTTTCTCAAAATGGAGAGCTCTTCCCTGGTGTTGGCCAGCTTGTTCCAGGAGACATTGAGCTCTGAAAGGTGGGTCATGCCCTGTGACAGATAAGAATACAAGCAATGTTTTTAGGCAAACTGGGCACCACAATATTATAACACACAGATATTTTTCAGGGCAGGAAGGGAAGTAAAAGACAGAAAGGACCAGGAGAGACATAGAATGACAACATCGAGGAGGTAACAGCACAAAAAATGAGTAAGCTGCAGAATGGTCAAAGAAAAGAAGTGTCAGGGGTCTCCACCATGTCAAAACCAGGAACAAAGAGGATACAAAATAATGACGAAAATTTTCCAGGTAACAATGATGATGATCATTCTTAAGGAAGCCTAAATGGCTAAATGGTGAGCCATTTTAGCATAAAAATAGTAAACTTAGAATATGACCTTGAAAATTGCTTGAAAATTTCCCAATAGTTTTGTTTTTACCTTATTTTTTGATAATAGTGGTGATGATAATGATAATAATATTAATTATAAAACACTGTGACAGGCCTCTTTCATTCCTCAGTATGTCTGACACCAACAACTGAACGAGAAAGAGACAAATGAGTCTGCTATTGGGTATTCTATGAAACATAGATATAACCAGTAAGGAAAATGAAGTAAAAAAGAGAGAGAAAGCTGGCAGGATTTTACAAAATAAAAATATATATACACAGATGAAAAGAAGGTTCAGACTTCAGACAGCTGTTGCACAACTTCTGGTTAAAATCAGTTGTTAAGGGAGACCAGGTTGTTTATTTTTATACTGATCAATTAATAAATAAAAGCATTATACAATGAAATGTGCATAATAAGTTGACTTGACATACCTTCATGCCATCCAGAGTGCAAATCTTGTTGAAACTTGCATCTATGTACTCAATATGCTTTGAGGAGAAGAAAAAAATAAGATTAACTCTTAAGAGAATTATTCGGCATGAGATTCTTATTTTAAGTTTACATCAAAATTTAAATAGAAAGCTTTTTCAGTAGAAAAAGAGTTTGCTAAGTCTTTGTACAAAATAACAAAGAAAAGCATCCCGCCACAGTACTAAACATCTCTTTCAAATTTAGAAAGATCATCTTTGAAAAGCTTAAACATATTTTTTAATTCAAATTCTTTTCCAAGATTGTATTCTCTTTATTTGCCCTCCATTCTTTGCAATATAAGTAGGCCATAAACACATTTAGGAGACCAAGACTTGGACCAATAAAGGTGACAAGTTATTGGGTGTTTCTTATGGTGTGTCTCCATATTAATGTGTGTATAAATCATGCAGGAGCATAATCCTAGGGCATCCCCTGAACTCAACATCAGAATACTAAAGGGTAATATCAAATGAAGTATTTACATAAGGAGAAAAAAGTAAGCTTGAAGATTCTGTTCATAAAAAATTAAAAATAGAAAGAAAATTTTTTTTAAACAAAGGAGCACCAAAAAATGTCAGTAAACTAGTTCATATCAAAGTCAGATTTAGGCCTACTGAAAAGAATATGGAAATCACCATGTTGGAGAGTTCATCCAGTCGAGTGAGCTCGTTGAAGCTAACGACCAAACGCTTGAGATTTGTCACGACCTGTAGATGTCGCAGCTTGGTCAGGCCATTGCCATGCAGGTTGAGCACCGTGACCTTGTGCATCATGTCGACCTTGGCAGCTCTCAAGATCAGTTCATCAGTGAGGGTCACCATGCTGACATATAAAGGTATATGTACTAAGAAAAATGTGCAGTGACTAACACAAATAACAATTTTATTTCTGCCATCTTAGGGTAGAACCATATTAACGCCCGACACCGACAGTCTCACCAGACCGCCGTTTTCCATCGGGTGCGGCCAACCATATTAACACCGGAGTTTGGCGGTCAGACACCGCCGTCTTGCAAATATGGCATGTGGTAGAAGAAGAAAATTATTGTTGTTGTTGCTTTTGAGACGCAGAAAAAAAATAAAGACAAGAAGATTTTCCGTGCATCCCATCTAAAGAAAGCGTGATACACTCGGTGAATTTCATCTTGTTTCCACCGTTTTTGGAAGACAGTGAAATTTCCAACAATACTATCGCATGAAACATAGCAGTTTCAATGAACTGCTAGAGATATATAATATGCAAAGCTGACAAGAACTGCTCGAATTCTGTGTAGTGTCATTGAGGCGGGAAAGGGGACACAACTATGCAGAGATAACATAATTAAAATTACCTCCCATCTCGCCTGATGGACCGTCTTCGATAGAACATGTTTATCGGAGACGGTATGACCGGGGACGACACAGGGCGTTGGGTGTCAGTATGGTAGCCGAAACCGTTTTTGTTACCTTCCATTACTAAAGAGCTGGTGTGCATTCTTTTGTGCCCGAAGACTGTCTGGTGTGACCGTCCGTGTCGGGCGTTAAAATGGTTGCAGCCTTAGACCATGTTATGCCATAGAAACATGGAGTAGAGAGATATTTGCAGACATAAAAAATCCTTGACAGAAAGAGGTAAATCTTAAGGTAGGAGTGGGAGCAGCCATTGATGAAAACTAGGGAAGCGAGTAAGAGGAACTTGTTAAGAGCCACGCTAAATATATTATTGACCTGTTTAAAGACCCTTTAGATAAATGTTAAGTAAACCCCTTTAGAAAACTTTGATTTATTTGTGAATCAATGCAATTATCCTTGACACTGATACAGCAGAACATGGCTATAGCAGCACTTTGGTTCAAGAAGAAAAATCCCGCTGTAGGAATGCAAAGGGGGAAATTATCGGAAAATTTTAAAAAATCCACCTGAGTACTTCCCTTCCATATCAATAAAATTTGTGCTTTAGATTAGTCTTCCTTTTCTTGTCAACTTCGTTGATTATCTCGGTCTACTTTAACTCGAGCGAGAAGTATTTCCTTTCGTCTCTGTTGGAAGTCATTTTTTCCTCGGTCTCGTTGCAGTGTGCCATCTATCATACCGGTAGGCCTACTGTAGAACTGGTGAAGTGGATGTGTGCGTATGCCTAAGAGCATCGACGATCGCAATTCGATGAATCAGGAATCACACACTATTCGCCCTCCTCTGCTTTTACTTTTTGGCCTAGCCTAGGCCTAGGGCTATGGTTTATACGCTCTCATATTGAGCATCTAAACTACGGCACATCACTTTTGGAGTGGCTCTCGTAACGCGTCTGTCCAGACCATCTCTCTCTGTCGCCTGCCCCACCTCACTCATCACTGGACTGACCAATCACAATGCTGCACCGCTGACTGCCTGTTTGGAGCCTGCCTACAGTCCCCCAACCCCCTTCCCCCCAGCTAGAGCTCGCTCGATCTCTCCCGTTGTATCCGAGTCCGGGCCTTTGCTTGCCCCGCTAAACCTGAGCATAGGTAATTGGGTTTACATAGAAAAAAAGGGGGATTCCGGTAAGGTCCCACTGTAGGGATGGTCCCGTTGAAGCGGGTGCCGCTATAGTCATATTCTACTGTACTTATAAGTTCCCATATGATCACTCTTCCATGGCCCCAGTTAACAGCTAGTTGTTTTTTTAAATGTTCGTTTTGATCTTAGACATGTCTGACACTGTACTATGTAGTCTTTTCACTTGTTCTCTTCCTGTCCTTTGAAATGCAATAATTAACTATTAACCCTCTAAGCCCTAGCCACCCGTACACCGGTGTCACGTTAAATTGCCTGTATGCCTAGCCACGGTACATCAGAAAGCGAGATCCTATCCCTGACATGGCCCATCTGGACAAAATACGCATGGAAAATAGTGTTTACTATACAAGATGTTATTGATTATTTTCAAGATCTTTCTGAATTAGTAGTGGTAATGATGAGTACTACTGTGAGCGGAATATGGAATGTGATTCTGAAGATGATATGAATCAGAGTAATATATCGCTCGGGAGCTCTGGTAAAGGTAGCCCCAGAAAGTCAGGGCTCAAAGGGTTAAGCCATCAAATCTAAACAATTTAAGCTCTTATACCATTCCCAAACTGGTCGATTTTCTTTTCCAAGAGAGAACCGTCTTAAGACCATTTGGGTGAGTACAGATTCAACATACCGTGGTCGAGATTTAAACTCGGGTTCCATTCTGATGATGTCACTGTCGCTGTCACTGTCATGGTCCTCGTGGTGAGCTACCGCGTTTGTCTTGGGCGGCTTTGCTGGCTGCTCACTGAGAAGGTCCTCGTTCAGGTTTTGAAACGGGCACCGGGATTTCAGCTGCAATGAGAAGTAAGCGACTAACATCAAAATATCCCTTGGCAGGTAGAAGGAGAAAGATGGAGTAGCAAATTCTTTAATAATGGCAGGACATGTAGGCTATTCAGTTCTTGTAAGAGAATTTCTTGATGTATTATTTGAAAACCACACTATGACATGAACTCATGTGCTGAAGATTGAAGTGGTTACACGAGAGTAACATATGAAGAAAAGAAGCAGGAAAGATAAAGATGATAGATGCTTAACAGAAAAGGAGCAAACCACACCAGAGCACCTGACAACCACTCATTTTCAGGGCTCCCCTTCTTTGCACAATATTTGTTTGTTTGGGTTTTAAAAAAGCATGTAGACATAAAGATTGTCATATAGGGCTGGAACAAAGCAAAACAGACAGAACAGAGAGATAGTAAAGAAAAAGCATTTACCAGTAGCATCCCCCATATTACCCCCTCCCCCTCTCCAAATAAAAATGCTTGATGTAACAGTGTTACAAAGCAGAAAGACATGCTTTAAAAAAAAAGCAATGTCCCAAAGCATAAAAACGTAACAACTCACCCTTGTGACATACTCAAACTCAATGATGTATTCAGGAAGAACAAGGTTATTGTTGAAGATGTACCACTCACACTGCCGAGCACTACACTCACAGCCATTTTCCTCTGATTTTTCTGAAATGCAAAAATGAATATGGCAGAAGAATAAATCTATCAGTCATGATTTAATAATAATGATAAAAATAATTGCATTTATATAAAGCATATCCACGTCCTACGGCTAAAACAGCACCTGGACATGGATGGCTGGGGCCTCTATAAATAAATCATTGATGGTCTATCCACGTCCTACAGTATGCTCTATGCACTTTACAACCATAATTACCCAATCAGACCCAAGAACACTCAGAAACATTCACAGCTTCCTGGGAAGTATACAGTGCAAGCTGTAGATTTCACGCGCTCAAACATTGACATACTGACAGACCCATTCCCACCAGGGTGAAGTGAGTAAAATTCATATAAAGAACCTTTTCAAGGACACAACGTCTGGTCCCTGACAAGATTAAAACCCAAAACCTTACAGTTGTGAGTCCAAGAGCCTGACCACTATACCACAGAAGCCACAATTTCAGCTTATATGATGCTTATGTCATCAACTGATTCAACCCACATTTAATTTTGACTCCGGACGCAAATAATTGGTGACCACTTCGTGACCTCACGGGTGGTCTCACAAGAAACTAATAAAGAAATATCTAAATTTGATAAAACCCTGTGAGTGGCATAGAGAGCGGGTCTGCATCAAAACACAGGAGATGGTCAGCCACTGTGAGCGGCGCTGCGGGCTGAATCAGTTAAGCTTACACAGTACAGAGAAATAAACACAAAGACTACTCAAATAAAAAAAAGATTCAAACATCTCTCGTTACATTGATTCGTATGATGCAGAAATTTCTACCCTTCCTTGCTTTGAGGCCTGTGTTTGGAGTGCAGAAAGGTAAAGGAGGCAACAGCATTGAAAACTAAAGATACTTTTGCACAAAAGAGTTGCATGCAATCCTTTCTTTCATTTCAGAAAAGCACAACTGATACCCTTCTGAATACGATTTACAGAACCGACTGAGAAAAAGTACTTTATTTACTTACTTTCTTTTGGTATACAGTTCTTTCTTGGTCTGAAAACAGAATCCATCTTGGGATATGATGCTTTACAGATTCTGCGAAAAGAGATAAAAAAGACACTGCAGGAGCAAATGCTACTCATGACTAGGACGCAACTTTGACCATTAAAAATATATAAATAGAATTTTTTTTTTTAAGTAAAAGAAATCCTAAACATATTCTACAGTATGAACATGATCTTGATATTATTTGTGAGGTGTGCTTACAAAATGTGTTATCAGAAGAAAATCAATATGGTCAAATTTGTAGATTTCCAATTGGTGCCATTTTCTTCAAGTTAAACATGTCTGTTATTATTTCATGCTAAAAGATTGTACAAACTCAACCTATAAATTTGATGTATTCCCACATCCATAAGGTAAAAAATCAGAGAAGTAACTCCTTTTGTCAGCACCCCTCACATTTTCACAGACTTACTGTCTCTCATCCGTTGCCACAACACTTTTGCCAAGATGAGTCTTTGCAACAATCAGCTGACCTGAAAGAGAGGCATATAAATCTTGAGTGAAAAAACATGAAAATATACTAAAAAATCTAACTGAATAACATTTCTTGTGCCGGTTTCCTCTCAGAAGAAACCCTGTTGGTAATGTGGTTAGTCAATACAGGTCATAAAGAATTCTTGAGTAACCATTGGCATGTGTCATTTGCCAACCCAAGCTGATAAGAGGTCCTGAAAGAGGCAACAGGCAAGAGAATGCGTATGTCAAAACGATTATTACTTTGTGTATTGCTATAGTATTGTGTACACAATTGTGAAAGCAATCTCCAGGCAGGGAATTCACCAAATCACCGTTTCACTTCCTTTCTTTTGAAAGTGCATAATGATTAAGGTGTGAACTTACACATATATGACAGTCCTCATTGCTTCAAAAAAGATTTGAGACTACAAGGAGTATGGTTGAGTGAAAAATACAAGGAGGTAGTAAGCAGTAAATTTTCACTTCAAAGAAAATTCAGTTTGTACAATATGGTCTCCCATTCTTCCCATACTTTTGTACAGGCAGTGACATCCTTTCATCCTGTCAAATCAAACACAAATAAGGAAGATACTTTTGTTCCAATTAATACTTTATAGACTTGGACAAAATCTTTTTAAAAATACAAGCCAGTTAAAACATAACATTACGAGATCTGTTCAAGAGACAAGGAAAAAAAACGAAAAAAAAACAACAAAGGGTAAAAATCCCCAAAACTGCCAAATGGGCTTAACTATAAACATTTACAGCCTACCACTCACAGTTCCGAGACAGTTTCACTCATAACAAATCTTTTTTTTAGTTTTCGTAAAAGTTTTAAGGCACCCGCAATACAAATAGGTCATATAAGTGCAAAAGATTAAAGGTGTTACTAGAGAGAAACATACAAAGAAGAGGAGGAGAGATGTTTGACAGCAAAAAAGGAACAAACTACACAAGAGCATCCGCCAACCACCCTCTGGTCAATCTTTTCAACCAGTTTGACCTTCCCCCTCTCCACACATAAAGGGGTAACAGACTGACAAAAAGGGGTGTTGACATTACCCAGGCCACTATATTCTCACCAAATCTGAAAGGACAGTTGTCAATATCCTCCTTGTCTCTGTTGACTTTGATGCAGTGCGCAATCCTTCTCCTGTCAGCCAAACTGATGCTGTTACTCAATGGAACAGCCCCATCCCGCCCAAGTTTCTGTGCAATAAAAGTTAAAGAAACAAAAAATCTTGTTAAAAAACACAATCTTAATTGTAAATCATAAATTTAAAGAAAAAGAAATTCTTCAAAAAAGATATACACATAAAACCCCCCAACAATTTTCAATGATACTGATTTCACAGTAACTCAACATTTTGTAACATATCATCAAGCATAAAACAATGGAGTATAGAGTTAAAAACCCCAGACAGTCAAAGAAAGACATAGATTGACAGTATGAAAAAAGGAAAATTAAAAGTGTATTACAAAATAGAGAGAGTAGAAGTAACTTGATTTCTAATTCACAGATGAAATCATAACAATGTAGAGTAGTCTCCACTTAAGATCCTGCTGCTTATAATCCTGGTCCCCTTAATTAAGATCCTCAAGATGAATTGGCTAAGATCCAGTTCACCTAAGATCCTGCATTTTCCTTAGTCCCAAGCATTGGGATCTTAGGCAGAGACTACTGCATAATGAGAGGCTGAGACGATTTTTCAAACAGAGTCGATAAACCACTGACCATGTAGGTTTCCCCATCCAGAAATCCCTCCTCAGGGATGCGGGCACTCTCATTATGACCGCCTGGCATCTCAGGGTCAGACATCCAGAACAAATATTCCAGAGACTTTTTGTAAGCTGTATTTCTGTGTGAACAAGAATGAACTAAGTAGAACAAAGCAGTACTTTTTTTCTGACGGACTTATCATTTCATTGGAGTTAGTTATGAACATTTTCCTCAACACTCCAACCTATCCCAATATAAATCTTTCACTAACATAACATGAACTTGGTTCAAGATAGGTAGTTTTAAGGGGGAAAAAAAAGATCAAAAGCGCTAGAAATACATTCAAAGACAGTAGTCCCTACAAAGTAAGACTTTCAACAATGGCCAAATTTTGCAAGACATATCAATTCTGTTATATGGAAGTTAATCCTCCCTTCTGAGACCATCTCTCTCTGTTAAGACATATTTGATGACACACATTTAAACCACAACGTTTTTCAAAAAGTCATTGCAACAGCTCTTAAAAGGCCTTCATGAGATTCCTGAAATATGACAATTAACTATAATAATAACATACTCTTTTCTAGTTCACTAAGCTTTAAAAAAAAAGTAACATAGAACCACTTAATCATGTCCAGTTTTACAAATGAGCAATGTACAACTTTACCCTGACTATGAAAGAAGCAAGGTGGAAAATTAAAATTTGGCACTCACAATGCTACTTCACTAAACAGCTGCACTTCAAATTGATACACTTTTGCCATCTCTGTTTGACCGTCACAAATTCAAACCATTCCTGCACTGTAGATATAGCCTCTTCATCACTCTAGAAACGCTGTCCTTTGAGAACTGTGAGTCTGCCAAATTCTCCAGTATTCATTAGATATAGCACCCTCTGACTTTTTCCTGTTCTCAAGTCTGAAAAAAAAGTTCTCAAAGGACAGCTTTATGCCCCTCATATGGTCGCTTTAAGGACAAGCGTGCTAACCCAGATTTTGGGGGTTTCCACAAGTGGACGTTGCCCTACTTAGAGGAGAAGTTTGGTTTCATTGGTGTGTATATTTGTTTGGTTATAGAGAAAACTCTCCTTGTCTTTTAAAGGGACTGAACAAGGGCCGAAAAGCTTTACCTTCAATTTTCTCAAAACAGCATTTTTCGGTACAGCCCCCTTGAGCTTAAAAGCGACCATATATTTTCTTTTACTACTGAACAGTTGACTGTTTTGAGAAATACTTACTTGACACCTGGATAATACTCTCCTTTGTTGCTCTCTGTCAGGTTGATGATGGATTTGTCAAATCGGGTGCGCAGCATGCGATTGTGTATCCGTACAATTCTGTGAATTTTTATGCCAACAACACCAAGATCCCGGTAATCATAGGCACAGAAGCGGGAAAGAACAAGATCATGACACGATGTGAACCTGTGAGAGTAGATGCAGCCATTTGTCACATGACAAAGATCATATCAGGCAGATGAAAGGTCTCTATATATGTGTGATAGGTATGTGAAATGTGTTCTGATTGAAGAATATGATTTAAAAAATGACTTTCAAGTACACACATATCATCAAATGCAAAATAAAATGACCACTTTATCATGGTTTTGAGAGTCTAAAAATATTTCAGAATTTGGTGGGTTTTTTTGCAGACTCAGGACACCATTTTTAAGAATTACAACTTGGGAATTTATTGGTACATCACATAATGGATAAGCCATTATATAAGGTTTGCCATTGTAGATCACTTAAGCCCTACTTACGTCACTATTGAAACAAATTCACTATATACATGGTGCCACAGAGAGAAAACTGTAGGCAAAGGGTCTTTTGCCTTCTGCAGATGATTCAGAAAACTTTAAAGTTCACACAAACATATGATGATATTGTAAGAAAACTCAGTTCTCCCACTTTGTGAAAAGCAGTTTACACAAAGAAGCAGTTCTTGTAAGCCACATGCGTGAAACCTACCAAGCGTCGCTGGACTGGCCATCAACAAATTTCACATTGCCCCCAGTCTCCAACTCCACCAACAGTCTGTTGATCATCACATCTGCTGTCAACCTCACACGAGATTCTGATGCCCGAGCATAAGTTTCCATTCTGTGAAAAAAGAATGAGATAAATACATGTCCTTAATCCAGAAGTAATATTGTGATATATTAACACACGCACACATTAATATTAGCAATGCCAATCAGACTTTCCCGCGCTGCGAAAATTTGGTCCCCGTTTGCGGGTGATTTTGCGGACCCGGCTGAAGTGTAGGTGACTTACTTTGACAACCTCGGTCTGCTCTATTTCCAAACCAATCTGAATGAAACTCGGCAACCAATCAGAAAATAGGACAAACTAATGATATGTGGACGTTGAAGTTCGTACACATAAATTAACCTATACTTTTGATGTCGGGAACACTTTCGTATCGTGTACACTGAAAACTACAAGGAGTTTGAATTTCAACACCGAGATGGTAATAGATCTATCTATCCTCTATAATGTGCTCAAATTTGAACGTTCAGTGTCAAGTAGTTGTTTAGACCCGATCATAAATGCATGACTACCCCCCTATCCAAAGCGGCTTCGCACGGAGACCGGCCATTTTCCCCTCACTCTCGCGGCAAATGTATGTGACCTACAAATCCCCGCATGACTATTCCGGGCCCATTCATAAGTCACTTGAAATAGGGCAATGGCGGGCGCGCGCATCCGGTTGTTTTTCTCTCTATTCCCCTGTAACATCACAATGGGGGTATTCCGAGGCGAGGTTATCGCGTCTCAACGGGGAAAAAAATTTTTTAATTGTACGGCATGCTAGATTGAATTAACTTATTTTTTACGGTTGGCATGGTCTAAAGTCATCATAAAAAGCTTTGCAATTATTTAGTCACGCTGCCGACATATATTCTTAAAGATCCCATGTTGTGATACGATGCTATAAATAAAATGGACTCATCCCGACATCCCTTTTTCGCAAAATCGTAATATGTACGCCAACATTTTAATTATAACAAAATAACTACGAAATGAGTAGTAAATCTGACAGCAGAAATGATTTCTACACCCAAAAACACATCGGGTAGCCAAGTTTCTCTCTAACACTCCGATTAGTTACTGAGACATCGTCGATTTTCTTACAGAATCTGCTACTGCGTGGTCCACTTTTTAGGAGTATTTTCCTATATGTGGGTCAACCCCATAACTTTTTAATTTATGAACCGATTCTTAAAATTCAAGAAGCATAATTCTTAGAATTGAAAATTCTTTCTTAGGTACCAAATAAAAAAGGGCTAAAGTGAAAATTTAAATTTTCATTGGCATTGCTAATTAATATACAGGCACACAGGCTTACAAATACACACATACATACACTCGCTTAACCAAGTGCACAGAAACATGTTATTTTACACTAAACAGATATAAAGTCAAACATAAGAGTGATGAACATGTGAATATTCAAGAAGTTTGACACTTGTGCACTCTGAGAAAAAGGTATGAGATTTATCTTTTGCTTATACCCACTTCTCATTCTTAAAAGTTTACAGTATTACCAAGGTCACTTCTTCGTACAAACCACGTGAACATCTAGAATACAAAGCCTGTAAATTTGTCTTTATGGAAAAGATTTCCCCATTCCAGTGAAACCAAACCCAAATCAAGTCTGGGCTAAGATTCTGATATCCAACGATTCTAAATGAATTATTCTTCACACTTACTCATTGATCTTTGTCTCCCACCGTCTACGTTTCTGCTTTAAGGCATCAAGTTTGATTCTATATGGTGTCCTTGACTTTTCTGGATGCTGGAAAAAATAAATTATGACACATCAATCTAAATACAAAAAAAAAAAATTTCCAAAAGATAATTAGTATAAGCTTTATGACCTTATGTGTATCTATCTTGTTCAAGTAAAATCTTAGCTCAATAAACTACAGAGCAAATCAGGAGCTTTATGGTCATCTCTGGATGGTAAATGAAGGAAAAAATTGACGCATTGCACGGTTGGCAAGCTGTTTCAAATAACTGAAGATATATTTTCTTTTTTTTTCTGAAGTATCAGGCACAGAATGTATTTTAACATTGAATAATTCAATCTTACACAAAATAACTTAATGCAATAAGTTTCATGACCTCTAAATTACATGCAATTCGCTCGTGACAAAAGCTTATCAGCTACTGACACCTGGTAAGCATTTTGGTGTGATGAGCTACTTTTCCTTCAGATTGAGATGCTACTATTCTTATCATTTCTTGATGAAATGTGTCGATTTCTAGGCTTACTCTGTCCAACCTATAAAACTACATCTTCAACGACTTTATTTACCCAATATGTTTAGAAAGATGTTATACATTCAAATAGATAGCGTAAACACGGCCTCACAGGCACTCACGGCCTTCCGACCGCGTGGTATCGGTGAAATCAGGGTAATTCCGATCGCTGTTTCTTTGCTCTTTCGCTATAAAATACCAAATGCCATACACCTTGTAAAAGTTTAGCTTTTCCTCGTTACAATGGTGTAAGTTGTTTATATGTCCGATTATTAGGAGCTGGAGAATCGCCGACGAAAGCGAAGCCCCTCGCGGTCGAAATGCGTGGTTGGCCGGTTGAAAAATTGACACGCGTGCATTCAAATGCTTCGCGGAACGAGTGATGATTAAATACAGTCTTTTCATTGGCGGGGAACTGTAGAACTTTAAACGGGCTTTCCCGTGATATATGTTTAGCCTTTGGCGTCTAAATAAAAAGCTTTTAAAAATGCTGTCAAAATGTTTAAAGATCACTTTTTACACAAAATATGTAAAATACCGGCTTATAAAAAATATGAATTAAAAGATCAGTTTATTTTCTATTAGAATAAAGTCATTAACTTGGAATTATTTTTTATCAATCCTTCCGCGAGACTCGGAAAGCATGTGACCCCGCACGCAGGGTACACTACAGTATAGAGCTGACTCGCTCGCCGCGGGGCCCGGTGCGGCGCCGGCCGGGTCAACGCTCGGTGATTTTGTCGAAATAATGACAGACCATCGTGTTTGAGGCGATAAAATACTGATTTGTAATGATCTCACAGTCTTGAAAAAATTTAGGCTCCATATATTTGTTATAGTGATTGTACTCTGTTAATGTGGAGATGTTTACTGCTCTTGGTATTTTTTTTATTGTCTGTCAAACATGGGGTTGCAGCTAGTGACTGACTTTAACAAATTTGATCAAATTTTAAACAACTACAATTTTCTTTAAAATTGACGGAGATGTTAAAGAATGGTACCAAAATGCTCAGTGGATATAGGCCTTTCAAATGGAACAGATAAATTTGGCATACAGCTACTTTGAAAATTTAGTTTCTGGTACCTAATTCAAAACTTTTGGTGCATGATAAAACTAGGTTAGTGAGCAAAACCTGTTCTTCCTTTGTTTATCTGTCATTATTGTATACCTTAACATCCCTTTCACTCTCAGGGTCACTGTCACACGCGTCTGGCACAGGATGATTTTCATCCCCTCCAAGCTCCATTTCTCTCTCCATCTGCAAGTAAAATAAGATAAGATGAATTTTTATTATCCAGACACTGAACATAAGATAAGAGAAAATCCACCATCATCATGGTAGGTTACAATGGGCAATTAAGAGGTCAAACCTAATAATGAACTTAAATGAAGAAAGTTAAAACCTAATTACTCTCTAACTACATCCAGAAAATAGAGTAACTTGACCACTTGCGGCCAAGAGTGAACATTCCCCCCTAGCCAGCACTGCTTCTGCACTAAGAGGTTCCCAACTTGATTTTCGTGGAGAAAAAAGCCGTAAGAAGGGCCCTGACCTGGCCGGGAATTTAAAGACTTCAAGTATAGAGGGCAGTGGGTGTTTTCAGCACAACTTCGGCGTACCACTCGGCGGCCGGCTGCCCTGGGTTCGGCCGACGACGAGCCAACGATGCAGCCACCTGACTTAGGTGTGGCCGAATCCATGCCCGTAATGCGGCCAGGCCTTTAACAAGCTTTAAACACTTGAAAACATGACGAACAGTGAAGCAAATCAATAACAAACGCATAAGGTGCAATTTGAAATATGGTAGGCCTACATTCAACTTTAATGAGATTCAACAGACTCTTGATCAGAGCATGCAAACGAAATGGAAATCAGTGACACAAAATGCAAACGGGGACGTTCAAAATTAAAGAATGATACATACAACTTAAATTAGATTCAATCTACTTTTGATCAGAGCATGCAAACAAAATGAAAATCAATGACAGCGTAGATTTATGCAAAAAAGTACAAGGATCGTAGATCTAGATCTAGATTACATCTACTCTCGATAAGAGCAGAACGGACAAGTCTCACGTCTCTGGCCTCAAGGTACAATCTCCACAGCCATGCTGACCAAGTGAGTCCCCACTCTCCTCATTCACAGTGTCAGGCCTTCCTTCCGCTTCAGCCAATGCTTGCATTTCGTTTCCAGTTCCAACCACGTTGCAGTCCTCCACTTCTTCTTCATTCATCTCACGCATAGCATATTATTCTCTTTCTACTCCAAGTCCAACGACTGGTCTTTTGTTCCTATCTCCATCACTCTCAAGCATGTCTTCTCTTTCTGTTTCTTCTGCTTCAACCACTTGTCTTTTGTTTCCTATTTCCATCATTGTCAGCAGCAACACTGTTTCTATTTCTCTCCGTTTGTGGTCCGACTCTTGATCCTTCATCAAGTTCAAGCGTTCCATTGTCCATGTGTCATCTCTGTGGAGTTTCATGTCCTTCCACAACCCCAACTTCAGCAAACATGGATTCCTCAGTCGAACGTTTTTCTTCCTTGAAATCTTTCAACTGCATGTCATCTTCATCACACAGTATCATTTCATTTTCATCGATACCTGCACTTGTGTCATAGTCTGAATCGCTCAACCTCTTCTTGGATTTGTTTCCTTTCACTTTGGACTTCTTTTTTTTTGCTTCTTCTAATTCTCCGTCCCCTTCTCCTTTGCTAGTCTCCTTTCTTTTTGCATCTTCTTTCTATTTTCTTTCTCCATTGTGCTTCTTTAGCTCCTCTCACTGTTTTTCTCTATCCTTTCCCGTCTTCCATTTCTCCTCTCCCATTTTGGCTCTACTCTGTCCACTTTTCTCATTTCCATCTCTGCTTTCCTTTTGATCTTTCTCTCCTTGTTGATTAAAGAGTCAATGAATTCTTGTCCACTGATGAGCGATGGAAGGTTTTCCAGCGATGTTTTTCTCTTGCCACCATTATTCCTGCGTTGCAAAGTAGGAAGAATGAAGGAATGTTTCAGTCTCAGATTGACTTGGCATCTCCCCATCCCTTCACTGACTGCTTGTTACACATTGTCTAAAGCTTCTTTTGTCCCCTTCGGTTTCCCACTCATTTTGAGACTTGCTTGGGAAAATGCATTTTTTGGATAGATTAGTGTTCACTTCATGCCATATTTGAGTTTTTGTTTGAGTTAGCCTTTAACGTCTCTAATTAAAACCAGTAGGTCATTTAGGCAAATTAACGTGCTGTTACACTGGGATATGAAATGTAACAGAACTTATCATCCCATCTAGTCACAGTGTACTAGCATTAACACCGGGCCAACCCATCATAGCACCCGTCCCATAATGCCGATACCAGGTGGGACAGCTACTAGATCTAGACTGCCAGTTTTTTAAGTCTTAGGTATGACTTGGTCGGGAATTGAGCCCACAATCTTCCATTTCCGAGGAGGACGCCATACCACTAGGCCACTGAGATCGGTGCCATGCTTGAAAATATTGTATTGTTTTGTTACCAGTAGATCTAAATCTAGCTTTATTAAGTGGACAAAAAGCTTTGCAAACAGCCTACCTCTATCAAGAACAAAGTCTAGATTCTATCTCAAGACCTTAGCCTTCATTTGACCAGGGCTATCTATCATTTTGGACTCTGGCCACGGCCAGGACCTCTACTGTACAGCCCGTCCTCGGTGCGGCCGATTCGACCGCTTGTGGGCCCACATGAACAATTACCCTGCCCTGACTGCATCCATCGACGTTTCTCCGAAAGTTTACCTTTGAGCGATATTTATACAATGTTAGGCTTAAAAACATGCATTTTAAAACACAGAAACCACACTTACTTGACAAAATAATAATATTTAGGTTGTGGTAAGAGCTAATGAAAAACTCACCTGAAATTTCACAAAGGGATGTTTTCTGGGTTGAAAAGTTCAAACTCGCATCACGTGTGTCGAAACAGCGGGAAAGACCGGAAATGAAAGTGAACGCATTGGCAGACCCAAGGGAAGCTACAGTGGTTTATTCAAAGCCTTACAGCAACAGGAATGCGAGTTATGAGAACTGGCCGCACACCAGCAGTGGCCGCGAGGGGGTCAAGCTACTCTACATCATGGAATAATAAAAAAAACCCAACAACTACAGTCTACAGCAGAAGGAAAGAAGACAAACAGAGATGTTTGATAGGAAAGAAGGAGCAAACCACACCAGAGCACCCGCAAACCACCCACAACCGCATCTCTTTAAAAATAAAGAAAAGGAAAAAACCAACCTCTTTGATGACAAAGTTCAAGACTCTCAGTTTGCTGGTTGGCGTCTCCATCAGTTCTTTCTTTGTCGTCCCCAATCTTGCCAACAGGTCTGACATATTCCTCTTAATTGTCTTGGCCCTCATGTTGTAAAACATTTTCTTTTTGTTAACTGTTCCCTGAAACAATTTTTTAAAAATTAAGCATGATCTTTAACGACAAAATCTAGAATCTTACAACAGTTTTACAATGTACTATATTTGAGTCTGTGGTGTAGCGGATAGATGCTTTATTGTCCCATGAAGAAGACCTGAGTTCAATATTTCTGAGGGGAGAATTCTTTTTGGAGTATCTTGGTCTTCATGTTCCAGGTTTCCCCTCACAGGCAAGGTCGAATCCCACCTCGCAAAGGATATAAATTGTGTCGATGGGGGCGTAAAACCCCTACATTAATAAAAATTGACAATGTGCTATAACTGCACCAAAGCTTTGGAAAAAGTATGTCTACCTAGGCACACCTTTACATCTTCAGCTCAAGGCAATCTGTGTTAAAGGTTAGGCACGGTATTTTACTCAGGAAATTATCTCAAAATATAGGCCTGTGGCCTGGCCCTAATTCCTGAAGCCTGTGATAAAGACAAGCACTTGAAACAATAACAAACCATTTGTGCAGCAACAAGCAGATATTCAAGCAGCAGGATCTGCAACTATCACCATCTTACCACCAGCATTTACAAGCAAACTACATGTTCCAGTATCTTTACGACACTAAAAGTTTATTCAAATCAAGAGCATTTCGACCGCTGATTGTAAGATTCCGTCATACGCCATTTGGAAAAGTGACGTGACGCCCGATGGAGTCATACACTGAGCAGTTGATTTTCTTTTATCTATTCTATGCACTGAAGTATCAGGGTGACTTCTGAAATTGAACAAACCTCAGCAAGATCAGCCAGCTGTCTGTTGGTGATGTCTAGAGTGTCCAGGGCTGAGAGATTCGGCAGGTGGTACAGAATATGAGTGGAATAGTTACACAGTTGGCTGGCTGGACATGGGTGGTACAATGGGTCTTTCAGGCTCAAACGCATAAGCTTGATCATGCGAACAAGACATGTTAAGTCCTGTCAAGAACAAAAGCATAAGTAATGAAAACATTTGAGTGACTAAATTAAACAGCTATGATTTTCACAGTAATGGTGTGAAGTTGTTCCCGCATCCGATCCGGACATTGGGGATTGCCTTGTTAGTGAGACAACTTCCTGGGCCTTTGGCATATCGTGATAGGGTGGTGTAATGGTGTACAACCCTTAAAATAACTTTTTTTTTTCAAACATGAATTAGAAATAATCAAAAGTTTAGTCACTTTAAATGAAAACATAATTATATTTGATGAGCTCCGTGTTTGGAAAGCCATATTTCTTTCAAGACATTTATGGCAGTCTGTAACTCTGTATCAGTAACTTCATTTCATTTGGGCTCTTTAAAAAAAATATATTACTGATGCATCATTGCCTCCTTCAGCAAAGAGATCTGATGGAAAAATTCCTGACATTACCTAGGCAGCAGCTATAGGTGATACATTTAAAATCAACCTTTTCTCCTAAAATGCACTGGTTTTGCTTTTTTTAAGAAGGGAGTCTAAAATCATTCATATCTTTGTATTGTCCAAAACGAAACAAAAGATGATAACTCTCTGCTCATGACTTTTTACATTAAATATGGCATAACACATAAAAAAACTCATGTCATTGGACTCATTCAAAAAACCATTTACTCATGCATCATTTCACAGGCAAATGAAGTAAAAGTACACAAAAAGTTCTGTACCGTACCCTCAATGACCACAGAGGATTGCCAGAGAGATTCAAATCTTCCAGGTGTGAGTTGCAAGTGAGAGAGCTGCCTGTATAAAAGTGTAAAATCATTTTTATCACCACTAAATCAAAAGCAAATCACATAAAAGAAAAAAATTAATGCTGTAACTTTTTTATGCTCATGGGACATTTTGATCAGAGCATGAACATTGTAATTACTCAAGTATTCCTTCAGAATTTGTAAATAGTAGGCTGAAAAACAAAAGGCACTATATTATAGTATGAAGCAAGTCACACACACTAAAATCACATGCACTGTGGGATAAAGAACTTATAGCTGGGTATACCTGGAATCTACTGACAGTATAAACCGATATGGGAAGAGGAAAGAAAAACCACACAAGTCTTTACTTTGTGCATCACTTTGTCTTGTTCTTTTACACTTACATAGTAGTACAGTGAAATCCACTTATAAAGAGTCCTGAAATAACGAGAAGTCTGTTATAAAGACACTATTTTAAGACCCCGTTTTTTTTCTTTCTTTATCTTTGTAAATAATATACTGCTATAGCGCTATCAGATAAACATGCGTTCGGTTATAGCGAAATTTTGCTGCTGCTGTGCACAGTGCAAAGGCCATGTATTCATGCAAAACCTCGCCAGTTGTTGGTGATCTTGCGAAACAAAGAATGGGAGAGCCCAGGTGTGCCAACAATGAAGGCAGAGTGAAAGAGTGGAGAGGATGTGGTAAGCACAGACAAAGCAGAACGCATTGCGTGATAGGCCAGCATAGTCTAGATTATCTAGGCCTACCATGCCTCTCACTTCTCCAATGCGATATGGAGAGGTCACAACGATGTGACTGTGATGGATGGAGCGAATGTGTGACGTGCGCAAGCAGACAGAACGCACCACAGGGTGTGGTGGGGTGGGGGACAACACAGCGGGCGAGTTAGCCTAGAGAACTTTATTTCGGATCGCCGACGCTGAGCTGTCAACATCACTGCGCTAGAGAAAGAAACCTTATTCGATTTTTGATCAAGTAAGACCTAGAGATCATGTTGAACCAAATCATCATCCGGGGAGATTACAAAAAGAAACGAATAGAAAATCAGACTCATATATTTGACCTACTGTACTATTTCCTTTGAATTTATTACTGGATCCCTTATAACAAGAATCCTGATATAACGGATGTTTCGCACGGGTCCCATCCCTCTCGTTACAACAGGATTACACTGTAATAAAATATGAATGCACATTCAAATAATCTGGTGAATTCAAACTCTGGACTTTTGTTACCTAAATTTTTATTTTTTTTTAAATGTTGTGTTTTTACACCCCCATCGACACAATTGTTCTTTCAGAAGACATTGTAAACTATATACACTGTGTGCTATCGACTATATATAAATACCACGCATTAGCCTGCACAGTGCAATAATAACTACAAGTTCAAAGCAAAATGTCAAGAAAAGTGTACCAAATAAGCTAAATACATTCCAAACAGCTGTCTCAAGAACCGCTTACAACACATCATCACCTACTCTTTTTGTTAATTCACAAAGGTTTCAGACAGCAAACTTTCAATGTCAATGGCCTAAATCAACCTGACGCCTTTGGAAAACTACATACAACAAAGATTATGGTTTTAAGGAACTTTCTCAAAGTACTTTTAAAACACAATATCATCCGAAAACCCTTCATTAAAAGGCTACTTTTTAAAAAAAGAAAAGATCCTACCAGTTACAGAATAATAACATCTAAAAAAAAAATATTTGGATTCATGTTATTCCCCGACTTATGATCCAACACACGGAAGGGAAGATTTCACAATTTGTCCTTCTATGTTTAATATTTTGCAGGTACTTTTACACTGAAAATACTATGCATTTTAAATTACTTTCCTTTCTTTCACATACATAATTTATTTATAAAACTAGATAGGGGTGGAGTTGACAGTGTAAAGATCAAATTCTTACTTACCTATTTTCTCAATCAAATTTTCAGCTAAATTCAGTTCCCTCAGTTTTATCAATGAGTGTAGATTCTACAGAAAGAGGAGAAATACTTCAATTTACAACAGTAAAAGCAACCTTTTCAAAAATTAATCTATATATTAATTTCAACAAATCATAAAACAGACTTATTTTGGAGCACAATCGTCTATCATATTACGAGCATTGTAAGTACAAAAACTTAAAAAGCAAACATGAGATTTTCAAAATAACTATTAAAGCTTGATACAAACATCCTGCATGCACAGGGATTCTTTTTTGGAAACATATAAGCAAAATAGTTGTTATTATAACCAGTAAAAATAATCCTCACAATTCCTTTTCTTAGGGGGTGGGGGGGGGGGGGGGTAGGGAGGCTATATTGGTGATGATGTCAAGCATAATCTGTGACACAGCAAAAAAGAGGGTGTTCACTGGGTTCTGCTACCTTAGCTTCAAAATGGGGCAATGCACTGCAGCGACCAACAATGGGGTGCTAATGTTTTATTTTGAGTGGTGACATTATCGACAGTTAAGCATGGGACTGTCATGTAAAATAAATTTGCGCATAGTGAAGAACAAAGTCATCTTTCCTTTTACCTCAGAAAAAAAAAAGCTGTTACAGAATTCTCTTTTTTCTCAGTATATTACACTTCTCCGAGACCTAACTTTGACAACACACTCTACGGAACATTACAGCAACAGCAACAAACCTGCACTTATCACTACATGGCATTGGACAGAAGGGCGAGAGCCCAGCTGTTGCTGGATCGATAACAACAACTCAATATAGTAATTTACTTTGAAGGGCAATTATATAGTTATCCAACATTACCTCAATGTTTTTTATTTCATTATTGTTCAGCCATAAAACAGTCAAGCTGGTTAAATGGTCGATGTTTTCAATCACAGGTATCTTGTTGCCATACAAGTAAAGCTTTGTTAGATTCTTGCACTTCTGCAAGCCATCTATTTTCTGAAATAGAAAGAAAATTGAGACAAAATCTTAATTTTTAAATTAATTACAAAGATCAACAATGAAAAACTCATCACAAGTATAATTTAAGTTTCTATTGGTTTTTTACGTAATCTACAAATATCGGCACTAAAGTCAGGCCACGGGACCAAAAAAAAAAGAAAAAAAGAAAAGAAAAAGGACAAAAAAATTTTAACATTATTTTTTAAAAAAGTTTCTATTGTTTGCACAGCATGGCAGACAGTGTACAGTTGTATTGTGACTGAAAATTTGAGGAATTTTTAAAGGTCCCATGAAGCCACTAAAACTATATTTTTTATAAACTTACAAAAAGAAGAGAAAGTAAATATTCCCTGCTTGTCTCTATTACCCATTCTTGATAATTTCAGTCTAAAAGTAGAAACACCACCAGAAAAAAACAACAAAACTACTAGCTACAACTTGCTACTGGTCAGTAGTACATTTTCCCTACAAAATTTCATTACTCAGCAATTCATATTTCGCACATCTTTAATATCTTTTACAGTGAAAGCCATTCAGATTCAAATTCAGCCAAGAGTTTTAAAGGTTGTGAAACCCTTTAATGCTTTTTATTCTGTAAAAAAAGAACGGCATTTCTCTTAAGATAAATCATGATAAAACAATGCACTCTGCCAGTCTTACTGTCAGTTGACATTCAGCAACCCAGAGTTCTTCAAGGAGAGGCAGAGCATTCAGTCCTTCCAAACGACTGACACTCTGGCCTATCACAGTGAGGGTAGTAAGGTTGGGGAAATGATGCATCCCAATGAGGCGAGGGAATCCTGAGAAAAACATTTCCAGGGTGCGAGCCTCAGGGCCCTCCACTTTGAGCTTTTTGTGATTGATGCCATTGTTGAGACACTGAGGAAAGAATAATTCATTCTTTAACTCATTACCAAAAGATACTTAAATGTCCTTTTTTGAGGACATACCTACATGAAAAGATATGACACAATAATTTTCTGGATTTTCTCATGCTTCACACGAACTAATCACAACAATTAAATAACTTGTGGCGACTAACCTTGTGTGTTGTTATGTGTAGTACGTGAGTTCATGAGTGAGAGTTCAGGGAAAGTCGCCAACCTGTTCGAGTGAATGTACGAATGTCATGTCTCGTCCTGAGGCCTTATGTGTGTGTATCTCGCTTCATGTGACAACAGGATTATGCTTGCTGTCTTTCTAAGTGTTCTAATATTTTGCTGAACGAAAGGACATGTATGCTATAAACTATTTGTATTGAAGAACAAATGATTCAGTAGTCCCATCATCAATGCTTTGCTACTGCAGGTGGGGGGGCCCCATAGTTTTACTATGGGGAAGCAAAGAATACACCTGCCGTGATACTGCGTGTCGTAAGAGGCGACTAAAGGTATATAGGTCTTGTCGTCCGAAAAGTGCCAGTTTGCGGAGGGCCAATTATCCAACCCAGTAAAAAATGGAAAGTTATAGAAACACGAACAAACACGCCTTATTATTTTTCCATCTTGGGAGATGGACAAGCTTCTGTATCAGCAGGAACAATGAAGGACAGCGTACAAAGCTGAAAGGACTCTTCTGACCCGAAACCTTCTCTGTCAAACAAGTCTCTCCGGATGGCGTTGTGGAATGTTCGAACCATGTATGAGGCAGGAAAGAGTTCTCAAGTAGTACAAGAGATGAAGAGATACAGGCTGCACATACTAGGAGTCAGTGAAACGCACTGGGTACAGTGTGGACAGAAACATCGCGGCTTGGGGGAACAAATATTGTATTCTGGGAGGGAAGAAGAGTACCATGCGGAGGGAGTTGGAATTATTTTGAATAAGTATGCACAGAAGTCACATAGAGGATGGGAAACACAAGGGGAGAGGATCATCATGGCTTCATTCACTACAAGGAATAAGAGCATCAACAGGAACATAATTCAGATCTACGCCTCGGATGAAGACAAGGATGCTTTTTACAGCCGGCTCCAGGAGGTCATCGACAAATTACCAAGAAAGGATATCATCATCATAATGGGAGATGCCAATGCCAAGATTGGTCAGGACAACGTAGGTTATGAGGGAATCATGGGACAACATAGCTAGGGACAAATAAATGAGGACGGTGAGCGATTTGCAAATATTTGTGCTTTCAACAGTTTTGTCATTGGAGCTCTGTTTTTCCCCAAAAAAGGATCCACAAGGCTACATGGGTATCACTGGATGGAGTGACGGAGAACCAGACCAATCATTTTTGTATCTCTCGTAGGTTCAGGCGTTCACTGGGAGATGTCATCGTACAGAGAGGGGCAGATGTTGGATCGGATCATCATCTCCTGTTAGCAAAACTCAAGCTTCGTCTAAAAAAGCATGGAACCAGAACAGGAACTAAAAGAACGAAGTCCCAAGTCTCTTAGATGGACACAAGAAAGAAGAGTTTCAAGTGCAGTTGGGGAACAGATTTCAACCCTTGACAGATCTTGGTGAGGAAGACATGGAGGTGGAGATGCACTGGACCAAGGTCAAAGAAGTCTTTACTTCAACATGTCAAGAAATACTTGGTGAGAAGAAATTGCAGCAAAAGGAATGGATTCGCCAACGGTGGTTGCATTTGATTAGCACTAGAAGACAATTGAAAGCAGAGACAAATGCAAGTAGAACAAGGGGATCAAAAGCGGACACAATGGAGCAGTACAGGACAACAGCTAAAGATGTAAAGAGATCACTAAGAAAAGACAAGGAGGAATTCATGAACAGGCTGGCAGAAAGGGCACAGGAGGCAGCAGCAGAAGGGAACACGCAAATCCTTTACCAGACTACAAAGGCTTTTTCTGGAAAATACGGGAAACCAGAAGTAACAGTAAAGGACCAAGAGGGAAAAAACATTTTTGGAAAGGAAGCTCAGTCAAGACGATGGGCAGAGCATTTCAACAGTGTCCTGAGCTAAACTGGTTTTAAAAAGAGAGCAATGTACATATCACTAATGAGATACCCACACCTCTACCTTCATCACTCCACATCAGTAATTGTTTGCCTTAAAAGTTTTATTACATGTGCTCGCTTAGAAATGCTTGTTTAGATGAATAGGCCTAGAAAACCAGTAGGCTTAGTAAACTCAACATGATGTGACTATAAAATCTGGCACCTAAACAAATTTAGTACACCATTTTTATGGCTCACGATATTCAAACATCCTATTTGATTGGAATTGTTCCTGAAAGTGTGGTCTTCAAGATTTATTAAGTACAATTTTTAAGAAAGGAGAGTACAAAACTGATCTACTTGTAATGTGCGTTGTATTTGATGGGTTCATCAAAATATCTAACAATTTTGAGTTGATCTTCACTGCAGTGTGCATTTATATGTCTGAGCTGTGGTAGTCCACAATAAGATTTGTTGGCGTCGGTGGCCTAGTGGTTAGACTACCAGACTCGTAATTGTGAGGATGCGGGTTCGGGAGTTCGAGCCGCGGGTCCGACGTTGTGTCCTTGGGAAAGGCACTTTACACGAATTTCCACCACTTCACCCAGGTGAAAATGGGTACCCAGCTATAGACAGTGAAAGATCTTGTAAGTATGTTAGTGTTTGAGCGCTTAACCAGCTGCTTGCACAGTATGCTTCCCGGGAAGCTGAGAATGTTTCTGAGTGTTCTATGGTCTGCTGGGGTAATAATATAGTGTAAAGCGCAAGGAGCTTGCTTTCGAGTGGGGACATGCGCTATACAAATGCTATTTATCGTTATTAGATTTGCAGAAAGATGGGGGGTGCATATACAATCTTTAATAGTATTGTTAGAAATTGCTGTTATAAATGTTGCTAACGACCTAGGCAGATTTTTTGGGTAAAAATGAAGGTCATACATGAACACATTTCAAGTTGTTATTGTCATTACATGCACTGCTATTTTTGAATGGTTCAAACAGCCCTTTTTTTCGAAACTTTGGATTTGTTTTGTTTTTTCCGCCTAGTGAGCTTTCTTTCAGCACTGATGTGGTCTAGTTAGCTGAAAAGTTTTGAAAAGGTTGCTGACCCCTGCTTGAGAACATTTCTTTGATGCACAGAGTGATCTATTTTGTATAAACAGAGTAACGTACAGTGCAAAAAGATAGCTCCAAATTTAAAGTCTCTATTTGAAAACAAAATGTTTTAACCAAATGTTGAAGGTAAAATTTATAAACTCAGAGGAGTCAGCTTAAACCAAACACGGTTAATAAGAAAAGAGCTGTTAATCGAAAGAAAATATTTCTACTATTTGGGCAGCCTCTCTTAACTGAAATCTCTGCTAAAAGGAAGCAAAATCTGGCAGATTTCGGTTTAAGCTGACTTCACTGTATGTTATTATTGGGGAGAACAGGAAGGCTTCGGACACTTTTTAGGCTTAGCTCCACCCATCGATTCAGGAACAATTTAAGCCTAAGAAAAAAGTTTCGCCATTATTGTAAGCCATTTAGGTACCACCACTAGCAATATCAACTTCATGCATCAACACATTTCACTGCCAGAGCACCATATCTACGATACCCCTAGATGTCCGAAACCACCCCAGTCTGCGAGAGACATCGACACAAACCTGAGGGAAACTTTGGACGAAATAGGGTGACTTCAGACAGTGTGTTTTAAGTATCAAATATTATTTTTGAGAGGCAAAACTTCAACACAGCATAAATGTACACTTTTACCTTTTGTTTGAGGTGTGAAAAATGTATTTCACACTGACTGGAAATCGTAGAAAATAAGGATCCAACTATATCTATAAATCAGTCTGCTTTTATGCACATCTTGTACGTGTTGACTTGAAATCACCCCTTATCATTGTAAAACAGGGTTCAGTAATGCTCTTAATAACAAGCTAGCTTTTGCTGTGATAAACAGAGATGAAAAGTATTCTGTTCCATTTAAGTCTCTGAGTCCGTCAACATCTGGATTTGGTGAGAGCACAGCATTAAAATGATTAAATAGGTGTTCCATTTGTTGAGCTGTTAATACAATTATCGCTATTTCTGAGTGATGCCCTCAGGATTGAATCCAGGTATGAGTGTTCTTAAACATGGGCTGTTTGAAGGGTTTTCAATAGTCTTTATGGCTTCCCATCACATCCTGATGGAGATCCGAAGGGCGTAAAATAAGAGATCCATCATCTCAAATGGCCTGACAATTATAATGTTCCGGGAAGTGTACCACAACCAAATCAAAGAACTAAGGGAAAAAAGTCTGTAGATTGAAAACTTTAAATCAGAATTTTTATTTTAAAGAGCTTCAAGTGTTGCACTTTGAGCTTTTGAAGATGAAATTCAAATGCTCTGAAAACGTCAATGCGAAAAGAAACATCAACGGATGTGAATTTAATGCAAACTGATACATCCTCTTTTACCTCTTTGTTGAGCCACAAATTGGAGAAGGAACAGCTGATCTCATATTATAATGGTCAAATCTTCCTTCCAAAGGTTGATAGATGAAAGAATTGCTTTCTTATTAGATTTTCTTAGGGAAGACACTCTAAATCGTCCTCTTCTTATTTCTCTGACACCATTTCCCCAACGAAGTAGACACACTCCCAAATAATCCCAAGTTTGATGACATTAAAGTTATGTTCTTTAGACTCCACGGGAAGGGCACCACTTTCGAACAAGAACCCAGAAATCCAGTCTCTTCGGGTAGATTTTGTTCATATGCCCCAGGATTTTATTGTTCGTCCTGACATTTTGCGATATATAATAAGAAAGGTCGGATTAGATTGAACATTTTATAAAATACTCAGAGAGTTTTTTTCTTTTTTCCCAGAGGATCATCCAAAAATTGTGCAATCGTAAACCAGTGTCTCTAAAACGTACCGATGTCTTAACATTTCAAATATAATATTTCCTTGTAGATTTCTTCACATTGTACACATAGCTTCTGCTCGACGTAAAGACAAAGAGTCATTAACCTGTGCACTCATGGCGATTTTCATCTTTGGGGCTCTATATTTTATTGATATGGTTCAGTCTGGGAAATACAACAACACAAGTATATGTTTTTAAAATTCAATTTTCATAGAAACTCTGATTCCAACTACTCTTACATTAGTCGTCACGAGACTTTGGACGGTGTACGAAGTCACCCCAACCCCTGTACGAAGCAGTCTTCCTACATATGGGGTAGTGTAGGAAACATGTTCACAAAACAGACATTGTGTAAGCTAGGTTAAATTTTATTAGTTTGGCATGAGACAGACACCAAAAAGCACAGATATATGTAGTTTTGTGAGAAAGGGTTGGTGCACTATTGTGACGTGTAAACCTTACAAACTGAGATGTGAAAACTTAATTAGAGATCCTTGTCAAAAACACAATTTCTTTCACAGCAGAAGCAAAATTTTGCTCAGCAAGGTGGCAAAAACACAAAAAGCTAAGACCCACATAGCACATTATGTGATCCGGTGACAAAATGTATACTATCAATAGTTTAGCGAGAATGAATGAGTCCGAAGTTGCCCTGTGTCCGAGGCCTCCCCGCTCTCCCCTACATCCTAGTAAAAAAATATTTAATTTTCTTCGAAGCAGAGAGAAGGTTTTGAACAGTGAAGGTGCAAAAACACAGCAGGCTATGCCTCACATGACATGTGATGTGATATAATAGTGGCAAAGTGTGAACTATCAATAGTTTAAAATATGTAATTAACTAGCGAGAATGGGAGTGTCAGAGTCTCTCTATGTCTAAGGCCTCCCGCTCTCCCATTTTATATCAAAGACCATAATTCAAAGAGTGAACTGTTTGAAGTATCGCCTATGATATCTGCTTAAAGGTATAGGATACATTAGTAGGAATAGTTTGGTGTCAAAGTTAGTTTTAAAACTTGTTTTTCAGTCCAAAACGGAACTAGATTCTAGACCAAGCTTCTCCAATTCAGCAATTTCAGTAACAGGCCTACTCCTGACCTACTCTCAAACCTGATCCCAAACCCCTTAAATCTAGATCTAGATCTAATTGAGAGAATGTACTAAATGATTTACACACAATCAATGAATCAGTGCACTCTTTCTTCTTCTTACCACTTCACGCAATATTTCGTCATCGTTGCTTTTGAATGAAAGTTGAGGTCGGGGTGGTTCTTGGTCAGTATCCTTAGAAGGAATTTCAGACAGCGTCACGGCTGCATTATTAACCGTGGAGCCCCCATAACTTGGTTTTGCTTTCGAGGCATTGGTGTTTAAAGCCTCGGCCATATCGGGGAATACTGATACTTCTTACTTTCGAAATCGTAAACAAAGCTCGATCATCCCTTCCGCCATCTTGCAAGCGCTGAAAACAATTTCCATTGGTTTGACTGTGTCACGTGAACACACTATCTCCTTGGTGATGACGTTTCAATTTTTGTACTGACTCTTGCTCTCTGGTTGTTCGTACTTGTCTGGAAATGAGGGTGCATGGGTGGGTTTAGGAAGGATAAATACTAGATTTAGATCTAGAAATCTAGATCTAGATCTAGATCTAGATCTAATACGATTGTATGTTTGAGTAAAGTCTCTTGTTCTTTAAATTAAAAAAGCAACCTCTACCTGAAACTGAAGTGACCCACTCAATGATGAAGACTTGTTGATCTCTATAATTTATCAATAATTAAAATCAATAAATCGATTGACGGTGATTTTAGATTTATAAATAATACAATAGGATTATAAGGCCCTAATATAATATAATAATCTGGTATTTTTTTATCTAGGTCGGGGTCACGATTCTCTCTCTCTCTCTCTCTCGCTCTCTCTCTCTCT